TTTCAAATGCAACAAAGTAATACTTTCATATTTTTAGAGTGATCGAGTTGCTGTGTCAAAAGAATTCTTAAATGCAGAAGAAAAGTCTGTGTTTAATTATATTTAAATTATTACAAGTAAATTAAAGGTTTAAAAAAGTTGTGTTTTACACACTGCATACAGAGTAAAACTTAAAATAACCTAAATAATTAGTAATAAGTAAATAATGACAGTTTCAAGGTGTATTATTATCAATAAAGTCAATATCGCTTACAGTAGTCATATTCCTACTATCACTATTATCAGATGCGCTAAAGTGTGAATTATTGTTGACCACTTAGATTGAGAATAGTATTAGTGAACTCGCTGTAGTTGCAACGTTAACGTGAGATAAAGAAAGAGCGACTCTGAGTATGAAACTCTAAACCCGGAAAATGCTACAATTGGGGATGTTTTCAAACTCCTGATTGGCATAAAAAGGGATATAAATCAGTTTCGCAAAACGACGCAGGCATTAGAAAATAAATCAGTAAATATTATATGTACAAATTTCTAATAATAATTATGTCTTAAAGGGCACCTCATAGAAGGGAATCATTTCATAAATGTATAAATTTTTCTTTTTTGGTGAGTCAATATTTTTATCTCAATATTGTTTTGCTTCTAATACTAAGAATAATATTATTTAATCTTCAATTTAATATCCTATGTAACCTTGCACAGCTGATGCGATACTATTGTTTAGTTGGTTTCGCAAGTTATTGTAGTCACATGGTTCTCTAATCTTCGGGTATGTAATACACCGTCGACCATTATCCACTGGATAAATGTAACACAATTATCATACTTTGTCGTTACTTTGGTGAGTTCGGTAACATCCAAAGTTAATACGAAGAGGGCTGAAAGTACTGATGAATGTAACACTAACACACTTGTATCTTTAACCAGCCATCACAAAAGTAAAAGTATATTACTATTTGTTGTAAATGTTGTAGTGTTAACCTCCGGCGCCTTTCATAAAAAAATCCATTTGTATTATCTAACTCTACAATTTATTAAAAGAGCGCTTTTCGCGCTGTGATTCCAAAAATATTTTAAATAACATTGCTCAAATTGATTCACACATTTCATGTTTCTGCATGTTCTATGGATAGAATGATATTTATTCTTAACTCAGGGAAGATCGTAGACAGTCCTTCGCCGCTCGTTCATCAAAACAAAGTAAACGCAATGGATATAAGAGAATTAAACCCGTTGACAATTTGCACTCGCTATATCTCCGGAACAAACGAAGATATCAAATATAGTTCGGAGCCGTTTCGGTGACATGCAGGGAACTTGATTACTGTATATGAGCTGGAAAACCAGAAATACGCTTAAGGGTATCTACATTAACTAAGAATTTACTGCATTTTTAGCAAGACGGAGCACCTCCTCATTACGTACTCCCAGTTAGGCTGTGGTTGCACGATCACTACCCAAATAAATGGATTGGTAGAAGAAGGCCAATAGAATCGCCTCTAAGATCACCAGACCTAAGTCTTCTGGACTTCTTTCTATGAGGCTATCTAAAGTCAGTTGTTTATAAAACCGAACCTCAATCAATTAACGAACTACGACGTATAATTACTCAAGAATATTGGCCTATTCCCAGAGAGGTATTTGAAAATGTACGACAAGAGTTTCAAAATAGACTGTATTATTGTTTAGAAAATAACGAAAATCATTTTGAACAGTTGTTATAAAGTGGATTAAATTAGTTTAATTCACTTATTCATAAATTAATTGCAAACTACTACGCCAAACTTGATTTTATTTGATCTCATTGGAAAGCACTTTTCAACTGCTTTTCAATGAGGTATCACAAGCAGGAGGTTGCTATTTAAGATTTTTGAGTTGGGATAGTTGAGGTTGAGAGGGTGGGTGGGGGTGCATCAACAATTGTAGTAATCAAGTTTTCCCTTTATATCACCGAAACGGATCCGAGAGATTTTTGATATCTTCATTAGTTCCGGAGATATAGCGAGTGCAAGTTTTCAAATTCACCCAGTAATAAGAGATATGAGAACACTTATTATTAAGCCTTAAAAGTATTCATACCTCCGGGCACTGAATAAGGAATAAACCGACAACACAGATTATCACGAATCAGATATCCCATTTGCCTGAGCATTGTGTACAAGATTTTATATCGACGACGCGCATGTAACCTTAACATGGATAAATAAAGAGAATAGCCTGGCACGTTTGATTATAATGTATTAAGCCCAAAAAATATTTATGTGAGAAAATGTTTACAATAAATTTAAACAATTATAAAATTTCAAAACAAAACGTTATACAGTTTTGCACATTTTTATTGTGCATAAAATACTTGCACCTTTTATTTGCACAGTATACAAATTTAGTTGCAATGATTTAGTTGGAAACGTATTCTAACAAACTGAGGAAATTCAGAACCAAATTTATTTATTTTTACTCATCAAGTAATCGGTACTTAAGCTTAATTTATTGTTAATAGTACCCTTAAACTACATATTTCATTATCATTATATTTACAGTTATTTTTGAGCAACTGTTTAAATGGTATACACAAGTTGTGTATCATAAAAATTATGATATTATAAACGAACAACTTTGTGAAATTCTGGGTCCAAACTTATTTATTTTAGCTGAACATTGATGGCAATTTAAGCTAATTTTATCAATACATACAAACTGGGTAATTAAATAACATTATTACTGAATAACAGCTTTTTTAAATTAACTATATCCGCTTCAAGAGAGAAGTTAATAGCACATTACTGTCAAGACTGGGGACTGGAAATGAAATGCGCATGACAAAATCTCGTGTATTGAAATTGTACGTGATTGTACTGAAAAAAAAAAAAAAATGAAGCATGTACCAAACACTCATAGTGTGCCGACAGAAGTGGGATATCTGATGCGTATTAAATCTGTGGTACAAATATCTATTGGGTACACTGTACAAGCGTCTCGCTCCTATGTAAACAAAAGTAACGTGGTCTAGAATCAATTCCTAGTATTTAAAAACTTTTGACATATTTACTTACGAGGTATTGATTCTAGGCCATTGATATGCTTTTTTGGCAGTTAAATCAAATACCAGTGCCAATACATTGCAGCAATGCTGACAAAAGAAATATTTTTATATCAAGTATTTTTCAAAAAATTTATTTTTTATTCTACAAAAATAAAAATATTTTATAGTATTCACTGTGAAGAATGGTTCAGACGTATTTCTAAAAAAATGTTATTCCGTTCCCCCTCCTGGAAATTTTGGAGGCGACGTACATGATACTGGATAATTTTGTTTAGATTTTTCTCAAGCTTGAACAAGCTGGTGCTTGTCGTCGAGAGGAACTCTACAATATGACCATTGATGACATTGTGAGAAAAGACTGCATGCTGGTTATTGAAGTACCTGAATCGAAGACCCACATTGAATGGACTTTACGGTAATTGGTGAGACAATTAATGGAATAAATCCACTAAATATTTATGATAAATATACAGCTATTCTCCCTACTCATGTGAATCACAAAGGGGTTTTTCTTCAATATCGAGGAGAAAAATGTACCGTCCACCGAGTTGGTATTAATACATTTTCAAAAATACCAAGTATTATAGCTAAATACCTTAACTTATCTAATCCTGAGCAATATATGAGTCATAGCTCTAGGAGATCTTCGGCATCAGTATTAGCTGGTTCTGGAACTGATATTCTGACCTAAAAAGATCATGGGGGATGGAAATCTTCAACAGTTGCTGAGGGATATGTAGAAGATAGCATCCAGAACAAAAAAGAAAATTTTAGAACAGATATTTTCAAACAATACTACAGAAATGACTATGTCTGCCGATGTAGTCGTTGGTGAAAATCAGACCAACCACCATGTTAATATAAATGAATCAAATATTTTTCGCACATCTGAACCTATAATTCAAGGAATAAATATAAATAATGTTAGTAACAGTACTATTCATATAAATTTTCGTTAAATTATGAATAAAATTGTTCATGAAATTTGTCAATAATTAATAAACGTTTGATATAAGAACTTTAATTTGTTGTCTGTTGACTATTAAATTTTATTTCACACTGTGAAATAAAATTTCTTTATTTCACACTTTTTTCTTTATTTTTCACTTGTCAATAATGACATTGTTTTGATTCATTGAAACTGTTCAATAAATATCATTTTAGGATATGGTGTTACAAAAAATTGTTTGTACCTTCTGCTTCAATTACTTTTTCAGAGTGTTTTGCGCAGCGCTGACTGAGACAATATCTAACTAAATTCTTACATAATAATCATTTTATAATCATTTTCTAGTTATCTAAATGATTATTACAATTCTTTTGAGTACTTGATAATGGTAGTTTAATAATTAAATGTATAAAACAGTTAAAGGATTTGGGTATTTTTCATAAACACTGGTCATTGGCCTCGTTGTGCTGCAATAAGTGAAGATGAATTTAAATTTTAGTAACATTTTATAAAAAGTTGTTATTATAAAATTAATTTAGAAAAAGTAAATTAAGCAGATCAAAAAACCAATTTGCTAATATAATTGAATTACATATAATTTAATTTTTTTTATCAAATAATCGAAAATTCAGTCAATCATAATTACAGGTTTTTATTAACATTGTTCTGAAATCCGTGAAATAGGTGAAAGTTCTCAGTTGATGATATATTTGATAATTATTTTTTCTTTTACAAACGAGAGATTCCTTATCGGCGAAAATTTCTTGAAAATTGTCAAAATATTTAATTGTGACATTAAATATTTATTTTAGGGAATTTCTACCATATGAATGTTTTCCTAAAAAAAATGTTTTCTCAACCGCCACTCAAGTTACCGAAGTAATCCCTAGGATTTTGTATTGAATAAAGAGAGACATGGCTCTACAGACCCTTGTGGAGCCCGAACCACATCTAGGGAATCGATAACTCCTGCTCCCATCTTAATACTAAATATACTACAAATAAACTTGCTCCAGGATGGATTCGAACCATCGACCTCCGGTACCGAGTATATAAAGCGCTTTACCCACTCGGCTACTATGCCCCTCAAATGTGTCCAGCTTGAGAGAAATCTAAACAAAATTATCTAGTATCATGGACGTCGCCTCCAAAATTTCCAGGAGGGGGAACGGAACAACATTTTTTTAGAAATACGTCTAAACCTTTCTTCACAGTGAATACTACAAAATATTTTTATTTTTGTAGAATAAAAAATAAATTTTTTTGAAAAATACTTGATATAAAAATATTTCTTTTGTCAGCATTGCTGCAATGTATTGGTACTGGCATTTGATTTAACTGCCAAAAAAAGCGTATCGATGGCCTAGAATCAATACCTCGTAAGTAAATATGTCAAGAGTTTTTAAATACTAGGAATTGATTCTAGACCATACTATTTTTATTTACATAGAAGCAAGATGCGATGAGAAATGTTTCAGTAAATTTATATAAACGGTACTTCATACTCTCAGTCACAATACAATGTAATCTTGCTCCTAGATTAAGTAGCTGCTAAAATATTTTCTGCGATAAAATGCATTTGAAGTGTCGCGTTTGAATTGTTATCTACCTAAAACTTTTTCTACTAAAGCATTCAGATAAGAATGACAGTATAAAATGTAAGAAACTATATGTATTTATTGTTATTATCATATTAGGTTTGAAAGGATGCTATCGTAATATCCAATAATAATTATTTTATTATTTTTCTTTTGTAGAAATGCATAAAAAAATACGAGGCAAATAAAATGTCCGATTTTTTTAAATTATTGCCTATAGTTTGGAATTTTTTTTAAAATATTTAAAATGTATAACACTTCTACGACTCTACGAGCACATCTTCCACCTATATCATGTAAAGTACCTAGCTAATTAAGTTTTTAAAAATGTATTTATTTTATTTTTGTCAGTTTTATAATTTATTTCTCTTTCAATTTTTACTTATGATAACATTAAATAGTGCAGCAAGTGCCCTAGCGGCCCTGGATAATACGGTCTTGTCCAAACCATTCGAGGTGTTGTTATGACACCTGGCGGCGATCATTGAAAAAACATCAAAGGTATCGAATTGTTACTTAAATGAAGAATTTTAATGTAAGTACTTTATATTATGGATGACTGAATTATTGCTATAAAATTTATTTAGGTTATTTATTTATTTATGTTATTTATTTATTTATGTTATGTTATTTATTCATGTTATGTTATTTATTTGTGTTATTTATTTATTTATGTTAATTTAGCCATTTTTTAAAAATGTGTTGCAATTGATTGATTTTCATTATAGGACCTACCTATCCATATATTAATGAGAAATATTCATTATCTGCCAAAAGCTAGGGGGCGGCCGCTCCTCCCTGTCCTCCCTTCTCGAGATCCATGGCCAGTATTACTGGGAACATAAACTTCTACATTCAGGAAAGGTTAAATATGCTTTTATTTTAGAAATAAATTAAATAAAAAAAATGGTAATAAAATATTTCAAATGTCCGTTTAACATTTCAGAAATGGAAGGAAACCCTTTTATTATATTCCAATAATTCACGTTATCCATGATATTTATACATTATTTTTGAAACTTGCAGTAATTAGTGCTTATCCTTGTGTTATGGGCGTACAACCGATGGCCAATAAATTTTGTAGTTGCTGGTAGCAGCCAGTAATATTATTTGTTCTACAGAATTTACGATGTTTCATAAAATTATAAACGATAATTTATTTACCGATTTAGAATTCAATACTAGTAAACTGCTAGTAAACTAAAATTTATTATTCTATAAATTACAGCATTTAACAAATGTTTTTCTTAATTGTTATATCAAAATGGTCACTGTATTATAGTTTAAATAAACATATAAAACCCATATAATTTATTAGATTTAGGATTTATTGTGTGAAATATTGTGACAATGTAGATTACAGCTTGCAAAAAAAATTACAAAATTTTACTATTTTTAATATACCTGTTCTCGAAGAAATATAATGGTGTAGCCATTATCTAGTATCGCAATAGAAATTAATTACTTTAATTAACCTAATTCAGAAACACTTATATTAACGTTATTTATATAATTTCATAATTTTTGGCTCTTGATATTGATTTCCTTATAAATTTTTATGCATATTATGTATTTGACATTTGTTTATTCTCAATACGGTATCGCTAAATACTAGTAATAATATTCCAGCGTTGCATTATGAAATTTCGGAGACGAGAATCGATTCATTCAAAGGCACTTAAGTTTACGGCGTTTTATTCAAACAAACAACAAATCATAGAAAAAGTTATTGGTACCCCATTGCCTCCACGAGAGTTAAACTCAGTTCCCAATATATCTCGAATTTATTTGTTAGGTAGTTAAGTGTAACGTGGAATGCATTAAAAGTGGGCGAAAATGGTCATACATAAAAATATAGTAACCATTTTTGTATATCTTAGTGAGCCCTTAGATTGGGATCAGAAAAATCTTGAATGAATTTTGATGATATGTTACCTGAAAAACTCGAGAAAAATTTGATCCTAAGCATTTCAAGTAAGTGTTACTTATCCTCAAACATTTCGGCCAAATCTTACACCTAATGTTGCCCAATAAACACTCGACATCCATTGGACATCCATTTTATATCCATTATAGGTCCAGATGTCCATGGACATGTTATGGACATCCATTGGACTTACATACATGGACGTCCATTGGACAACGTGTCCATTGGATATCCAGTTAACGTCCATAAAGTTAAATTTCTGGATGTGGTATTTATATTCATTCACCAATAATGAACCATATGGACATCTTCTGGCCATCCATTGGACTTAAATAAATGGATATCCATTGGACATCCATTTAACGTCCATAAAATTAAATTTTTCTGGATTATATGATACTTATATTGGCGCATAATATACTACATAGAAGTCTTATTTTTAGATATTTAAATCAAATTATTTCATTTTTATAAGAAATTAGTTAAATAAAATCATCGATTTTTATTGAATAATTCATAAAACAATGCAAAATGTTATTTTTGGACACTTATTTTGAAACTTTGAATTGTATTTTAACATAAATGCATTTATTAAAAATATAATTCAATACTTCTATTATGTAATTTATAATATAATTTAATGTGGATTATAATTTAATCCAAATTTGGCGCGCTAGCGCCACCGACGCGACGTGCGACAATTCACAACACTATTTGTCAATTGTCAGTTTTATTTTTACCGCCCGGGTATTCCTTCTGTGTGTTAATTGTTTTCTAACTGTTCTGTCTGAACGAATGAATCAAATGATAATTATTAGGTGCATGATAAAAGTATAGTAAAAATATTTTACTAAAGGTAAGTACATTTTATTTATATATTGTTAAACAACTGCAAAATGCCGAAAGTGTCGAAAAAGAATTATAAAATAGCAAGTTTAAATTCAGCCATTCCATTTAAAATTAAAATTTATTATATTTATTACAATTGCTTGAATATAGTTCCATTTAATTATTTTTATATTCTGTCTAATATTTATTTTCATTTTAGGTTCGTGAAATTAGTCAATTAGGTGGCAACAGTTTATATGAATTTCTGAAGAGGTCTTTAAGTACCATTTTATGCAATAGTTTGACGGTGCAATTCACGTGGTTCTGGCTAAAAGAAAAGAAGCCATTTAAGAATTTGAAATTTGCACAAGTTTTAATAGGTAAGCTATAATAATCTAAGCACTATTGAAGAGAAAATCTTGACCTGTGCTTAACACAATGGAGTAAGAGAATTAGAGATACATGTGAGGGACAGACCAATTTGTATACTTTTTCGTTTCAACAATGTCTGAAACTATGCGTAATACGATAGCAAATGTCTTAGCAGCGTGTAGATCAACTATCTGTCGAATACTGGTTTTATATTATTCTCTTAGTCTCCGTTACATCCAACGCAACGCAGGTTATGTGACGATGCCAATCCAATAATGTATAAATAGCAATAGGGCAATCTACTAATATGAAAATCGTGATAAAAAATAACCAAAAAGTGTAAAATGACTACAAATAATGAAAAAGTAATACGTATACAGCATTTAATTTGATAAAATTAGTAAATAATGTTTTTATAAAAACAGCATAAAATGCATATTGTTTCCCTTTTAAATATTTCTGGTTTGTAATTTATTATTTTTATTTATATAGGAGCTGCAGAAATTTTTGACGAAGCCTATAAGTTCCAATGGCACAACGGCATTACAAATAAATCTCGGATCCAGAAGTTACACTTTTATAACGTTTCACTGAACAGCTCTTAAATAATACAGTTCTAATTTTATTGAGATAGTTTATGTAAAAGTAAATGTATTTTTATTAATTAAACTTGTGTTTGATTTGATTTGGTTATATATATAATTCAGAGTAATTACACCTATGGAAAACGTTTATGAAAAAATTATAATGTAATACTAATAAGGTATCCATTAGCATTAAAAATAGTTGCCAACATAATTCAAAAGGTAAGTGGGTATATTCTATAATTATATGAAAATGTGTTATGAATTTAATAAGAGGCCTGTTAACTTCTAAAATACTCGATGCAAATTTTTGTTCCATAAATACTATAGACAAAAATCTATTTTCAAAAAAATACTTCAACGTAAATGTTGAAGAAAAATGCTAATTGTGCTTAAAAGGAGGGGTGCAAATCATTGATAATTCGTTTTTTTCTTTTAATGCTACACATATTTTTAATGGGAAATAAATTAGATGTCCAGTTTAAGTCCATATATGGACACATTTCGGATGTCCATTTTGTGTAAAACTGTCTCTACTGGATATCCATTGGATGTCCATTGGACGTCCATTGTATGCCTGCTGGACATCCAATGGATGCCCACGATTTTTAATGCATTAGTCCAATGGATGTCCAATGGATGTCCACTGGACCTTTTTGTGCTATTTGGGTGCTGACTGTCAACTCATTGTCAGACCTTACCAAAGCATCAATTCGTTAAATGCTGAATAGTGCATACTATCAAGAAGAGAACAGTTTGTGTACCTTTATATAC